CTCTCTTTAGTAGCTCTTATCACTCCTAAACCCTGCTCCGTCATCCATTTACTCAAGCTCAATCTTCTTCTTCTTCTTCTTCTATGTACCCTGTCATTTCAAGACGAAGGCGATCATGGCCCTCCACAATTTCCAGTCCTTTGTAGCTCTTGATAAATTTTGTCTCTTTGTTATCTCTCTCAAACTCTGCTCAGCCATCCATTTACTCAAGCTTATTTCTTCTTCTCCTTCTTCTATGTGCAGTGTCCCTTCAAGAAGCAAGCGACCGTGGCTCTCCACAATTTCCTGTTTTTTGTAGCTCTTAATACATTTTGTCTTTTTGTTATCTTTTCTCAACCCTGTTCCGTCATCCATTTATTGAAGCTCACCAGGAAGGTTATGCGTTGTTTACCTCTACCCCTCTTGCCTTTAATCTATCCTGAGAGTATCAAATTTTCCAAGTCTTCTTTCCTCATCATGTGACCTAGAAATCTCAACTTGTTCTGATGTTAAGTGTAAGTGTTCTTATTGTTTGCATTTTCTCTAAATCTTCGTCATTGCACACATGTTCAGTCCGTGGTATTCTCAGCATGCTTCTGTAGAACGATGTTTCTGTTTTCATTCTTCATCTGTGGTAAAATTGTCCAGCATCCAGTGCCATACAGGAGGACTGATATTACATAATAGTTCACTACACTTTTCTTTGCTTCTAATGAAATTTTCCTGTTTCTTAATACTTTGCTTAGCTTTTGGAGGGCGTCTTTCGCTATCCAATGTGCCTTCAGATTTCAGTATCGCACTTTCCGTCCTCTGCTAAAACACTTCACACATATTTAAATTGTTGCATTTGTTTGATTTTGGTATATTCAATGTCTTTGATGTCAATAAAGAACCATTATTCTAAGAGATGTTCATTTTTTGGAGATCCCAATATGTTTTCGGTTCAACCCAAGAGGCCTTGCACTCGATGTCATCGAGAAGGTAACCTAATAGTAAGCAAGTGGGAAATCGGATCTCTAAGGATGTTGATGGACTGAGCTTACATATAAACAGGAAGTTGATCCAGCTGAACTGAAGATGAATACAAACAATGTTTTCTTTTTTTTTTACAGAAGGTTTTTTTATCATTTCACCTCAAGCAATGCACTAAAGCCACTAAGACGCAAATGGTTACTAGGAGTAAAAGGGAATGAGAAGACTTTAGTGAGGAGAAAGGACAATAAAACAACATGATTCAGGTAGAGAGAAGATGGCGATTAGCGTTGAATTCATTTTTTTTAATATTGCAGGTGGCAGGAAAGCAACAAAATGAAAGTGTGTTCCACAGCTGAGAAGTGCAAATGAAACTATTAGAATAGAACTGATGGTTGTATCTAGCTATTTCAACAGTAAAACGATGAGACCTAATTGCCATTCTAGCAGCACGCTTAAATTCCTTCAGTCGAGACACTAAATAGAGAAACATATCAGAACAATTGCTATGAAAATATTTCTAGAATGGACAGAGGGAAGCCACGTCACTACGGTGAGAAAGAGACTGAAGTCGAGATGCCAGGTCAGGATCTGTTAGATTGCAGACTCTTCTTTGAATTTTGTCAGGAATCACGGGATGTATAGCAGAAGCACCAGACCAAATAATTTAGGGAATAATCTTAGGATTTGAAATAATGAAAAACAAAGGATTTGATTAAAAAAGAACACTAATATGCTAATAATACTGATAAAAATATTGAAACCTAAATAATAAAAATAATTAATAATAACTAATAATAAATAAATTATAATAAATAATTAATAATAAAATAATAAATAATTATATCTTATAATATTATAATAATATTATATTTTATCATATATATATATATATATATATATAATATATATAAATATATATATATTATATATATTTAATATACATATATAATATATTATATAATATATTATAATAACATTATAATATTATAATAATTATAACATATAATAACTATAATATAATATAATATGATAATATATATATATATAATATATATATTATGTATAATATATCATAATATATTATAATATATATATACAATATATTGTATAATATCTTATATTAATATATTATAATAATTATAGTATATAAAATTAATAAATAATTAATAAATAAATTATAATAAATAAATTTAACAATAAATAAATTAATAATAAATTAAAATGAATTAATTAATAAATTAAATTCATTAATTAATTAAACTAAATAAATCAATAATAAACAAATAATTAATAATAATAAATAAAAATAATAAATAAAATAAGGAGGCATAAAAAATATTTTCGTTAATCATTTCACCCCAAGCAAGGCGATAACACCATTAGGACGCCAGGGGTAACCGGGTGTGAAAGACAAGACTTTTTGAAGATTGTAGGTGGCAGGGAAGTAAGAACTTGGAAGGGTGACCCATGGGCCAGAAACGGGGGTAAAGAAACAATTAGAAGAGAAGAGACGGTAGAATTTAGCTAGTTCAATAGTAAAGCATTCTACATGATCCAAGGAAATAGATGACACAATGATTGATTTGATTTTTTTTAAATCATTTCACCCCAAACAAGGCAATAATGACACTAAGAAGAAAACGCTACAGCGAGTGACAGAGAATAAGTAAATATTAATGTGGAAAAAAAGGACAATAAAAGAATAGGATTCAGGAAGACAGAAGGCAGCGATAAGCGTTTCATTTAGATTTATTAAGGTGACACCGAAGCGCGAAACCGGAAGTGGGTTCCACATGAGAGAAGGGCGAGAAAAGAAATTATTCAAATAGAACTGATCGTTGTATCAAGCGAAAACTGAGCGAGAACGATGGAGGAGTAATCAGGAAGACAGTAGATAACGATTGACATTGCATTTAAATTTTTGAAGATCAAAGTTGACAGGTAAGCAAGAAGCCGGAAGAGAGTTCCACAAGTGAAAATTAAGTGAGAACAATAAAAGAGTAATCAGGAAGACAGGAGATAACGATTGACATTGCATTTAAATTTTTGAAGATTTTGACGCAATAAGTCCAAACAAATTTCATCATACACCCCGAAAATAGATTCGTATTATACACACCACTGCAAATGACCTAATATGGGTAAAAATTAAAAATCGATTACACCCTGTCACTTCAGTGGGTCTAAAACTGACCGTATCGTGAAATAAAGGGAACTAAAGCGGTTGTTTCAATTAATTTGCACAGGCGTGTAATTTACGTAACAATCTGAAAAGCTGCTAAAATATGCTTCATTTAATAATTTAAGGAGAAAAATATCGAGAATTTCTGTAAACGGGCAAAAACAAAATCTAATTACAAAGCAATTTCGTATTACAACAATGTTATGAATTGATCTGCTGTTTCCGTTTTCTTTCATCAATAATTTCCTATTGTTAAGAGAAAACAAACAACTGAACCATCCAATATTCTGCTAATAAATAAAACAAAATACAGCGTACACATAAAAAAGGCTTCTGTCTCTTTCAAACATTACATTTACTAAAGCCTAATAAGAATAAGAGAATAAATATTGCATACGCCAAATTACTGTTTATTCTGCACTAATGTCGGCACGAAGGTGTATAGCTATGGGGAATTTTCTTCGAAAGTCGATCAGAGATTTTGTCTCTTCTCTCCTAGATTGGACGTTTTTATAACATCCTGTAAATGTGGTAGTCTGATATCGGCGTAAAGATGGACATTCTTCGGACATCAATCGTCTTGCAAAGATGTGGGAGATTCTGTCTCTTCTCTCCTAGGTCGGATGTTTGTATAATTTCCTCTCATGTAGTAGTTTATGTTGACATGAAGGTGAACTTTCTCCGAAATCAAAGAAACGGAAGGGAGTTCCACAGGCAAAAAATGCGATAAAATAAACTATTTTAGTAGGAGTCGTTACATTTAACTAATCCAACAGTAAAATGGTGAGACCTAAATGCCAATCGAGTAGCACGCTTAAATTCACATAGTCCGTACACCAGGGAAAAAAGCTCGTCCGAGGAGTTGCCATGAAAATATTTGTAGAAAAGACAGAGGAAAGCTACGTAATGAAGACAGAAGATAACGATTGACATTGTATTTAAATTTTTGAAGATCAAAGTTGACAGGGAAGCAAGAAGCCGGAAGAGAGTTTCACAAGTGAGAAGTGTGAGAGAAGAAACTGTTAGCGTAGAACTTACGGTTGCACCTGGACATTCCAACTGTAAAATGGTGAGACCTATCTGTCAATCTCGTACTACGCTTAAATTCCTAGAGTCTAGGTGCCATACAAGAAAGTTACAAATAAAGTTATAAATTTTTTCAAGTGCACACGAACTTTATGGACAACCCTGTATATACGTTTTTTTAAGCAAGTAATGGATTTTCAATATGACTTTATTTCTTATGACTATAAAAGTTATATTTCTATTTAGTGTCTTTGAATTGACATCCGGGTTTTTTAGACCATAAAATTAATATCTACCAATCTAGACATGAAAATTTTCTTATTTAAGATATATATCCAAGAAGTTTTGTTAAATTCAATTGATAAAGACTTATCGGTTTAACGTTATATTGCCTTTCTCTAATTTTCAAGTACGGAAGTACGAATGGTGGATTTATAAATATACAGGGTGTGCATAAAGTTCTTGTGCTCTTTAAAAAATTATAAATTTATTTGTATTTGCGATAGAAATAATTTGTAAAAAGGATTAGAACGAAGTAAATCTATATTTTTTTAAGGTTTTATTGAAATTTTATATAAGTTTCCACATGTCCACCATCATTAGCAATACAAAGTGTAATACGATTTTGCAGTTCACGGAAAACATTTGCCAACTTATTTACAGTAATGCCTGAAATTACATTAGTTATTTTAGCTATACTTAAAACTAGGTACATTAAACTTTATAACATTTTTTACAGATTATTTATAGCGCAAATACAAATAAAGTTATGAATTTTTTAAAGTGTACACAAACTTTATGGACACCATGTATATGCAGACAGACAGATATATCCTAGTTAAACGGAGATAGATAGATAGATAGATAGATAGATAGATAGATAGATACTGTTCAAACAAAAATTTAATTTACAGATAGATATATACTGTCCAGACTGAGACAGATAGAGATAGATAGATGCATACATACTGTTCAAATTGAGATAGATAGATAGATAGATAGATAGATAGATAGATAGATAGATAGATAGAAACTGGGAGACAGAAAAACAGATAGATAGATAGATAGATAGATAGATAGATAGATAGATAGATAGATAGATAGATATGAACATACTGGGAAAGATAGATAGATTGTCTAATTGGCTGGAGTAACTTAAAAAGATTAACATTTTTTACAGATTATTTCTATCGCAAATACAAATAAAGTTATAAATGTTTTAAAGTGCACACGAACTTTATGGACACACTGTATAAGATGATTTCTGTCTAGAGAAGTCGTCTAGCACAACACAGTAAACCAAATATTCTGGTGTAATGGCGGTATTTGAAAACACATATGAACGCTCTCTGTTATCATTATTTAATAATCAGTGGGTTTTTTTTCTGTTTTGTTTTGGGTTTTTTTCAAAAGTCACCATCACAACAATCACAGTTACAAGTTAGAAGTTTGTCTTTCCAATATACCCCTGAGGATGATTTCGGAGAAGATCGAAAGTACTTTGGTAAGGAAAAAAATAACTACGGTGCCTTCCTTGATGAATTTCAACTTAACATCAAGAAGCTGATTGGAGAACTAGAAAGGATTATTTCATAAATAAATAGACATAATATGTCTATATTATTCAATGAAACATGTTTGAATGAAGATATACAGGGTGTGTCAAAAATAGATTTACAAATTTTGGAGACGGTTTCCTAAAACTAAAACAAAAACAAAAGTCCATAAATATATACCCGCAAATTCTTTGTTTTTGAGTTAAGTTTAAATAAAATTTACTGTAGATGGCGCAGTGTTGCTATGTAGTCTAGGTTACATTTGTCATTCGTGTACATTTGTTTCTAGTCCGTTTTCAACGTTTAACGTGTGTAGTAGTGAGTTAACTGAGACGTGTTCCGTTTAACAATGGCAGGATATTCATATCATGAGCAGGCAGATATGATTCTAACATATGGCCGCGTGAATAGAATTGGACACGAGGCTGCACGGCCGTATCATATTGCGTTTCCAGACCGAAGGCAGCCGAGACATCGAAGCTTTGTATCTATTTATCGTCACGTTGTTGTGACAGAATCCATAGCATCACAAACTATGGATCGAGGAAGACCGATTGTACATTTAACAGCGTCTACGCTAAAAAATAAATTTAATAAATCAAAAACGAAGGATTTGTGTACTTATGTTAATATGAACTTTTGTGCTTGTACTGATGTGAAGTGCCCGCTCCCAAAGGTTGTAAAAGTATTTTTATACAATCCTTTGTTTTTGAGTTATTAAGTTTATTAAGACTTTCGACTATTCTATTAGCCATTATCGAGGATGTTTTTTTATATATATATATATATATATATATATATATATATATATATATATATATATATATATATATGTGTGTGTGTGTGTGTGTGTAAAAAGTTCAGATAGTGTATATCTGTAAAAGGATAATATGTATAAGGATAATTTTTCTTTTGTATTTATTCATCTATATATGTGTGTGCGTATGTGTGTGTGTGTCTAAAAATATTCAGATAGTGTATATCTGTAAAAGGACAATATTTATATGTTTTTTTTATATATATATATATATATATATATATATATATATATATATATATATATATATATATGTATGTATATATATGCTCGAGTCTGGGGGGTGTAGATCAAATATGGGTCGGAATCCGACAGAATGATAAGATAAAGAACAAATAGGAAACGTCTATCAATCTAACATGTTTCGCTTTTATTAAAGCTTCATCAGAGAATGAAATACGAATAGAATGCTGTTGTCTTTTTGAAGTAGTTTCTATGTTCAGACAAGATGAGCTGTGATCAAATGGAGATCATATGTGGATGGGAATCTGACAGAATGATGAGATAAAGAACAAATAGGAAACGTTTATCAATCTAACATGTTTCGCTTTTATTAAACTTTCATCAGAGAATGAGATATTGAGTCTAAATATAAGAGTCTACTGTACCTAAAGTGGGGATCGGTTTCCTATTGTCATTAAGTAATAAAGTGATCACCCCAGAATGACTACATATAGTATGATTTGAAATCAATTATGGATGGGAATCCGACAGAATGATAAGATAAAGAACAAATAGGAAACGTTTATCAATCTAACATGTTTCACTTTTATTAAAGCTTCATCAGAGAATGAGATATTTAGTCTAAATATAAGAGTCTACTGTACCTAAAGTGGGGGATCGGTTTCCTATTGTCATTAAGTAATAAAGTGATCACCCCAGAATGACTACATATAGTATGATTTGAAATCAATTACGGATGGGAATCCGACAGAATGATAAGATAAAGAACAAATAGGAAACGTTTATCAATCTAACATGTTTCACTTTTATTAAAGCTTCATCAGAGAATGAGATATTTAGTCTAAATATAAGAGTCTACTGTACCTAAAGTGGGGGATCGGTTTCCTATTGTCATTAAGTAATAAAGTGATCACCCCAGAATGACTACATATAGTATGATTTGAAATCAATTATGGATGGGAATCCGACAGAATGATAAGATAAAGAACAAATAGGAAACGTTTATCAATCTAACATGTTTCACTTTTATTAAAGCTTCATCAGAGAATGAGATATTTAGTCTAAATATAAGAGTCTACTGTACCTAAAGTGGGGATCGGTTTCCTATTGTCATTAAGTAATAAAGTGATCACCCAGAATGACTACATATAGTATGATTTGAAATCAATTATGGATGGAATCCGACAGAATGATAAGATAAAGAACAAATAGGAAACGTTTATCAATCTAACATGTTTCGCTTTTATTAAAGCTTCATCAGAGAATGAGATATTTAATCTAAATATAAGAGTCTACTGTACCTAAAGAGGGGGATCGGTTTCCTATTGTCATTAAGTAATAAAGTGATCACCCCAGAATGACTACATATAGTATGATTTGAAATCAATTACGGATGGGAATCCGACAGAATGATAAGATAAAGAACAAATAGGAAACGTTTATCAATCTAACATGTTTCGCTTTTATTAAAGCTTCATCAGAGAATGAGATATTTAGTCTAAATATAAGAGTCTACTGTACCTAAAGTGGGGGATCGGTTTCCTATTGTCATTAAGTAATAAAGTGATCACCCCAGAATGACTACATATAGTATGATTTGAAATCAATTACGGATGGGAATCCGACAGAATGATAAGATAAAGAACAAATAGGAAACGTTTATCAATCTAACATGTTTCACTTTTATTAAAGCTTCATCAGAGAATGAGATATTGAGTCTAAATATAAGAGTCTACTGTACCTAAAGTGGGGGATCGGTTTCCTATTGTCATTAAGTAATAAAGTGATCACCCCAGAATGACTACATATAGTATGATTTGAAATCAATTATGGATGGGAATCCGACAGAATGATAAGATAAAGAACAAATAGGAAACGTTTATCAATCTAACATGTTTCACTTTTATTAAAGCTTCATCAGAGAATGAGATATTTAGTCTAAATATAAGAGTCTACTGTACCTAAAGTGGGGGATCGGTTTCCTATTGTCATTAAGTAATAAAGTGATCACCCCAGAATGACTACATATAGTATGATTTGAAATCAATTATGGATGGGAATCCGACAGAATGATAAGATAAAGAACAAATAGGAAACGTTTATCAATCTAACATGTTTCGCATTTATTAAAGCTTCATCAGAGAATGAGATATTTAATCTAAATATAAGAGTCTACTGTACCTAAAGAGGGGGATCGGTTTCCTATTGTCATTAAGTAATAAAGTGATCACCCAGAATGACTACATATAGTATGATTTGAAATCAATTATGGATGGGAATCCGACAGAATGATAAGATAAAGAACAAATAGGAAACGTTTATCAATCTAACATGTTTCACTTTTATTAAAGCTTCATCAGAGAATGAGATATTTAGTCTAAATATAAGAGTCTACTTTACCTAAAGAGGGGGATCGGTTTCCTATTGTCATTAAGTAATAAAGTGATCACCCCAGAATGACTACATATAGTATGATTTGAAATCAATTATGGATGGGAATCCGACAGAATGATAAGATAAAGAACAAATAGGAAACGTTTATCAATCTAACATGTTTCCTTTTATTAAAGCTTCATCAGAGAATAAGATATTTAGTCTAAATATATTTAGTCTAAGTCTACTGTACCTCAAGAGGGGGATCGGTTTCCTAATGTCATTAAGTAATAAAGTGATCACCCCAGAATGACTACATTTAGTATGATTTGAAATCAATTATGGATGGGAATCCGACAGAATGATAAGATAAAGAACAAATAGGAAACGTTTATCAATCTAACATGTTTCACTTTTATTAAAGCTTCATCAGAGAATGAGATATTTAGTCTAAATATAAGAGTCTACTGTATCTAAAGAGGGGGATCGGTTTCCTATTGTCATTAAGTAATAAAGTGATCACCCCAGAATGACTACATATAGTATGATTTGAAATCAATTATGGATGGGAATCTGATAAAATGATAAGATAAAGAACAAATAGGAAACGTTTATCAATCTAACATGTTTCGCTTTTATTAAACCTTCATCAGAGAATGAGATATTTAGTCTAAATATAAGAGTCTACTGTACCTAAAGTGGGGGATCGGTTTCCTATTGTCATTAAGTAATAAAGTGATCACCCCAGAATGACTACATATAGTATGATTTGAAATCAATTATGGATGGGAATCCGACAGAATGATAAGATAAAGAACAAATAGGAAACGTTTATCAATCTAACATGTTTCGCTTTTATTAAAGCTTCATCAGAGAATGAGATATGAATAGAATGCTGTTGTCTTTTTGAAGTAGTTTCGATGTTCAGACAAGATGAGCTGTGATCAAATGGAGATCATATATGGATGGGAATCTGACAGAATAAGATAAAGAACAAATAGAAAACGTTTATCAATCTAACATGTTTCGCTTTTATTAAAGCTTCATCAGAGAATGAGAGAAAACAGACAAAAGGAGAGAAACTCTGTTATTTTCAACTGTGTTTGGGTCTGGTCTCATTGGTCAGTCATGTACCATGTGCATTAAAATCATAAAAAATTCTCTATATATATGTAAGTTTTTGAAGATTCTTGTATGTCTAAGCGGACATCGGATAGTAATGTGAACTCGTAATTATGTATGTGTGTCTGTCTAGTGGGAGTTTTAACGTCTTCACCTCTGTGCGGTCAGACAGCGCAGCGGAGTATCACGTCATTTATTCTATAGCCGATATCTTTAAACATGTATTCTTTGTATTAGATAGATATAAGTTAGATTCTTTAAGAATGTATAACATATGTGTACGTGTGTGTGTATAGAGATCTTTAATAATAATCAATAATTTCTTTTTACAGCTAATTTTCGAACCGTTTTTTTTTTTCATCCGCAGTCAATCTATGTTATTTTTCCAATTCATATTACTTTCAATTATATCGAGATTTTTTTTACAAGATTTCAATAAGCAAATCCAATAAATAACGAACGAAATTCATCGCACCAAAATAAAATACGAACATATATTTAGTGTTTTGTAATTGTTTCTCTTTTTTTTTTTTTTTTTTTTGTTTTGATATTTTCACAAATTGTGGTACGGGTTATCAGAACGAAAGGAAAGAAAAAGGAAAAAGGAAATATTGCGTCGAAAAACTAAGTGCGAATCGATTTTTTTTTTATCAGATATTTTCTGGGATTTCTGCAATCAAAAAAAAAAAAAAGAAATTAAAGAATAAAGAGAGAAATACGAATCAGACGATGTCTGAAAACCGTTCCTTACATTTCTGGTCGCTTGTATAAATTACAATTAAGTGAAGCTGTTTTTCAAGTAAATAAACATTCCACAATAAGTATTATATTTAGGATGCTATTTTCTTTAGCGTGGATTCATTGACAATAAAATAAAATAAAAAGTCCGCCTACGAGGCAGTGATTAAAACTAAGCAAAAGTGGCTTGTATAAATACGAATGTTGATGTGATTATTTATTAGTCAGCTTAGACACAAAGCCACATATAGGCTTAACCCAGCAAAGACTGAACTACGTACTAATGGTCTATGGGAGAATCTTGATCACAATTGCACCATAGCGAGATGATGTGCATGTGTAGAGATAGATAGATAGATAGATAGATAGATAGATAGATAGATAGATAGATAGATAGATAGATGAATGAATATGAATACAGATTAAAATAGATAGATATGAATACAGAATGCGATAGATAGATAGATAGATAGATAGATAGATAGATAGATAGATAGATAGATAGATAGATAGATATGAATACAGATTAAAATAGATAAATATGAATACAGAATGCAATAGATAGATAGATAGATAGATAGATAGATAGATAGATAGATAGATAATGGGATAGATATGGGATAGATAGATAGATAGATAGATAGATAGATAGATAGATAGATAGATAGATATGAATACAGAATGAGATAGATGATAGATAGATAGATAGATAGATAGATAGATAGATAGATATGAATACAGATTAAAATAGATAAATATGAATACAGAATGCAATAGATAGATAGATAGATAGATAGATAGATAGATAGATAGATAGATAGATAATGGGATAGATAGATAGATAGATAGATAGATAGATAGATAGATAGATAGATAGATAGATAGATATGAATACAGAATGAGATAGATAGATAGATAGATAGATAGATAGATAGATAGCGAACAAAGACTAAAATAGATATGAACAGAGATTAAAATAGATAGATATAAACAAAGAATAAACTAGATATATACCGGATGTTCCACTAGATTCCTATCAAGAAAACCCACGTTACACTTCTCTGACCATAGCTCAATTAGGACGATTGCGTTTAATCATGAAACAGTCGCTGCTGGTGTTGACTTCAATATATATATATATGGCTAAGATCAAAGTATATATATATATATATATATATATATATATATATATATATATATATATATATATATATATATATATATATATATATATATATATCAGATGTAACATTAAAATTGCCCAATTGTTATATTAAGCTTTGAACCGTTGTATCATGGAAATGATTAAAGGTATCTTACTGGAATTCTACGAGGATTTTTATAAAACTATTCGACTCGACTTTGATCAGTAAGAATGTATTTAGTTCTAAGTTAAAATGATGATCCCTCTTGCTATTTCTACCTTCTAATACAGTTTTCCTTACTACTGTTCCCTCTTTTTTAAACTTATTCGCCGTTCTCTTAATGGTTCTTGAATGTACTTTGATGATGGAAGCCAGAGTATGAATGTTGGTACCATAACTGAAGGTCTGAATTATTTTTTCTTTTCACCATTACTCCGTTGGGAAGACATAGTGGGGCTGATATAAAACCATTTTAACTTATTCACTTTCTAGCTGAATAACACAAAAGGGTTTTCAGTGATTCTTACAACAAACTGTGTCAAAGTAGTTAAACGTCTTATCTGAAAACCTGGAGTAAAGAAACTCAATTAGTTAGAGATTTTTAGATATTAAACATTTTATGAGATGGACAACTGTCCTATTCTGTTACACAATTTGGACAATTTTGCTGTATAAACAACGGGCATACACACACACATACACACACACACACACACACACACACACACACACACACACACATATATATATATATATATAATTATTTATTTTAAAAAAATTTATGACATAAATATGTTATAAAATCACTACAAAAATAGCCATTTTGTTTCAACACCCTCGGTGTCTTATCAAGTGATGATGTTGAATGTAAAATAAATGATTTTAAAAGTTTCAAAATAATTAACAATCCTTCGCAATGGGAAAACGTTGTTACAAAAGCTAGAATGACCAATCAACTACAAGTATAGGAAAATTCAAAAAGCTTGACAACACCAATCATATACTTGGGTATATATATATATATATATATATATATATATATATATATATATATGAAAGGACAACATGACTCGAGTTTCACGGTCACGCGATCTTCCGCTCTCAAGTCGTCTGAATATCGCGTATGCGTGACACTCGATCCACGACAAGAGCCGTCATTTCATAGGATTTAACATTGGTAATCGTTTTTTTTTTTTTTTTTTTTTGCTCGGTCAAGGCAATCTGGGCTTCGAGCATTTTACTGATTAGGTAAGTTTGCTTTCACGACTTTTCTGTCTTTCTTTTTCAGTTTTTTTCGTCTTTTTCGAGACTGTATCTGGATAAGAGCTTAGGTTTTGACAGGCTGTACGTCGGTTCCACCAACGGCCTTTGTTTTCCTTCAATATATATATATATATATATATATATATATATATATATATATATATATATATATACTTTCTATTATATGTTTCAATATGTGTTTTATGATGCAAGTTAACGTTTTTACAATAGAATAGGTATTGACCAACCGATCTTCGAAAAAACTTTCAAGACCTAACTTTATATAAGCAGATATCTGTATCTTGCTAATATATATATATATATATATATATATATATATATATATATATATATATATATATATATATATATATATATATATATATATATATATATATATATATTCTACCTCTCTTTACAGTATATTAATTATAATTTATAAACTTTCCCCACTTCAAGATCTCCCCACATCTCTTTCCATTAATTCTTTACATATCTTTATCTATATATATATAAAGTCATTTTTAAACACGTTTTTATTCCTCTTTTAATTTTAAATTAATATTTCATTCTTTATATATTCCCCAAATTAATGTCATAAGGTTAACATTCGGGTTTAATTTTATAAAACTTCTTCCCTTTAAGACAAATCCCTTCTAACCTCCCCTGATCCCCTGACTCGTGCCTTTCGTCTGACTGAAACATTGAAATCGATAAATCCTGTAGTAGTTTTTTGACAGGTTGTTTTGTTTGTTTTTTATTTTTTATTTTTTTAGCTTTCACGGTCACATTTCTATTTCTGACACGAACTCAGTCCACAATGGGGTTGATAAGACAGACGACCTCTATTTTCGTCTGCCGAAATTGCCTATTCCCCATATGAGTTGATTTGGTCTTTATTGCGTATTAAATATGTGCGTGTGTGTATGTGTGTGTGAGTGTGTGTGTGTGTGCACTATATTGTGTCAGGTTCAACTTATATTATCTATATCCCTATTAAAAATATTCATGATAACTTGTTTTTGGTGGGGGTATCAGATCTTATTATGCAAATAAACCAAAAGAAAGGGAAATTTATATTTAAAAATAAATCCAAAAGTTTACGGTCATAAAAGCAAATCCGATTAACACAGCACCTCAAGTTCATTTCTTTACCATCCCCTCCCCCCAGTCAAGGCGATAGAGCCACCACGACGCAAGAGGTGGGGGGGAGGACAGGGAGCCGAACAAGTATACGTGAACGAAGGACTATTTTATTGATTTGCTTTGGGGAAGGGAAAGTAGAGACATGTCAGCTACCATCTTTGACATTGCCTAATTAGAAAAATGGAATCTCCATTTTTTATATGGATATATACCCGAAGAAGGCTGTAGAATGGTTCGGTTGAAACATTTTTGTTAACAAGAACAAAATCAGTTCCCTCAACTTTTCAAACAGAAAAGTATTATTTTTATTATTATTATTATTATTATTATTATTTGTGTATGTCATGTTTCCTGCTTTGTATCCTGTAGAGCTGGGTCTAAATTATGGTCCTTAGGCCCTATAAAAGAATTTTCATTTAACTGATTGCACTTATCTTCTTCTTCTTCTTCTTCTTCTTCTTCTTCTTCTTATCATTATTATTATTATTATTATTATTATTATTATTATTTATGTTGTTTCCTGCTTTGAATCCTGTAAGGCCGAATCCAAACTATGGTCCTTAGGCCCTTTAGGAGAATTGTCATTTAATTGATAACACTTTTCTTCTTTTTCTTCTTCTTCTTCTTCTTCGTCGTCGTTGTCTTTTTCTTCTTCTTCTTCTTCTTCTTCTTCTTATTATTATTATTATTATTATTATTTGTGCATGCTATTTTTCCTGTTTTGTATCCTGTAGAGCAGGGTTCAAATTATGGTCCTTATGCTCTGTAGGAGAATTGTCATTTAATTGATAGCACTTTTCTTAGTATATGGGATGTTCCTAGTAGGGTGATCTCCTGGACAACCTGTATGTTGATGTTACCTGGGACGCTGTTAGTAAAATTCTTCATTCCATTTCTCACGAGGCCCAGTGCTCCGATTACTATTACTACCGTCTCAGTCTTTATTCCCCATATCCTGTTCATCTCGATCTTCAGTTTCATCATATTTTCCCGCAGATTCTGCATTTCGGGTTAGTTCCAGCCTTGATTATGTGACAGTGATAGGATCTGGATGCCAATCTTTGGTCCTGAGCTGCATTAATTAGGTATTGTATCTCAGATCCACACCCGGTGCTCCTCAGCCACTAATGTGTTTTCTGTTGGTTCACATCTGCTTCTTTCGTTCTTTTTATGTATTTGCTATGCAACACCTTGTCCTCCTTGTTTTAAATATGTTTTTATTTGGCCAATAGTCGATAATTTTCCTTGAGGTGTTTCTCTCAGATGGTACTGCTATGTCAATAAGCATATACTTCCTGAATGTTTTGTCTTTTATGATAATATCAGGTCTGTTGACTTTTATTTCACTGTCGTTTTGAATTGGTATGTCCCACAGGATAGTTACATCATTATTTTGAATAACTATGTCTGGTTGGTGGTCATAGTATCTCTCAGTGGTTTCGATTTTGTGCTTCTTGCATATCCCTCAGAGCACATATGTTGTTACCTGGGCTCTTCGAGGTGGTGTAATGGTTAGCAAGCTTGTCTCGCTAAAACAATTACGACTGAGTAGTAAGTTCGATCTTAAATGGCTGCCCCATTCTTTCGGCCTTGTGCCACATCTAAGCTACGCTTAAGCTACGCTTACGGTCAAATCACGCTGAAACACCGGTTCTCGTTCGATCACCGAAGTTAAGCATCGTAGAGCCAGGTCAGTACTTAGATGGGGGACCGCTTGGGAACACCTGGTACTGTAAGCCCCCAAAGTCCAACCTTTACCTCACAGTCGGTGCGGGGTGTAAACGGTAGTGTCAGAGCTATGCCGCCCGGAACTTCGTTCCTGGTAGGGCCACCCAAGGCGGACAGGTCTGACAGACACGCCGGCTAACAAGGGCTCTGGTGAAAATCCAAGGAGCGTCTGCATCGGTAACCGGCGGCTTCTGGTCGTTCCTGTCTCTGCGTCTGTGGGAACCCCGCGGCAAGCAAGAACGTTATCCGAGTAGGCCTGGGTACCCTACTTCTGTTATTTATCCCAAGAATCTTCTTCTCATAACAGGAAGAAGCCGGCTCAATCCGCCCAGGGTGAATGCCGCATCAGTACAGTACAGTACAGTAAGCTACGCTTTGAAATTCAATATGTCGTTACATTTTTATATCTGTGGGTATATTCATTTTTTTTTCTAATTCCGGATATCCTGAGATAATTTGGTCGAAAGTTTTATCATATTTTCCGCTGATCCTGCGTTTTGGGTAAATTCCATCCGTGATTATTTGAAAGTGATAGGATCTGGTTGCCAGTCTTTGGTCCTGAGCTGAGAAGCATTCAAATTGAAATCTGAGACAGGCCTGATGTGTTTTCTGTTAGTCCACATTCGCTTTTTTCCTTCTTTTTAGGTCTTTGCCATGAAACACCTTGTCCTCCAAGTTTTTTGTGTTTTTTTTTTTGTAATTTCATTTGGCCAAATTGTTTTGCTTTCTGTTTTACTCGTCTATTATTATTATTATTATTATTATTACATTTCGATTTTTGCTACCTACCTATCAAATCTGTGGGAAGACCTAAGGCAAATATTGGTGCGTTGTTATGGCTACATTTCATGATTTGTTTTTCTAACTCCCATATCATCACTAGCGTTACATAGACAAAGTTCTTCTTAGTGTGCGGGGCGGTACTTATCAAGACAATTTTTGTCTCGCCTCCAGTCACACTCTCACCGACGTTATGTGGCTTCCCCTTGTCTTTTCTATAAATATTTTCATGGCATCTGCTCTGACGAGCTATTTACCCCGGTACACCGACTGCATGAATTTAAGCGTGCTACTAGGCTGGCATCTTGGTCACACCCTTTTACTGACGAAACTGTTAAATGTAACGGCCACTTCTACTCCAACAGCTTCTTCTCTTGCACTTAATCTTTAAAATGTAAATGTAAATCGACATCATCTCTTTCCTTGATCTCCGTTCCTCTTTTTATCCTTTCTTCAGTCCCTCCACCAACCACCAGCTATATCGAGTCTTTTCGCTTAATTACACTCTCTGTAGTCCCTTGCATACTAGTGGCACTCCCGCCTTGCTTGGTGTGAAATGCTTTAAAAAAAAGCTGAAATGTCCAGGGATTTTTTCAATGTATTGTTGTATTCATTTTTTATCATTCCAAGCGCACCTACTATTAATGGTACTATTCTTGTTTTCAATTTCCACATTTTTTCTATTTCGATTTCATTGTTTTTATATTTTGATAGTCTTTTTTTTTTTTCAATTTTTTTAGTTGCTGGGTAAGCCATATCAATTAGTAAGCAAGTTTTTATTTTCGTTTTTTGACAATTATGTCCGACCAATTTGATTACCAGGGGACCCTTCGATGAGTCTATCAGAACATTTTCCAATCAAACCCAGGTCCCCAACCACGACTGGAATTATTGATGTCTTCATGTGCCACATTTTTAAGATTTCCACTTCAAGATCCTTCTATTTTAATAGTTTTTTGAAGATCTTCAAATATATAATAGGAGCAGATAGATTTGCCTATCGCCCGGTTCACACTCTTTCTCCGCCTATTGAACAGGAGTATAGGGTTATCCTTTGATTTTTGTTTAGATTACGGTCCTGGTTATTTCTTGTAAAGTCTTTTAATCATTTGCCCTCCCGGAAACCCCTTGCGTCTTAGTGGCATTATCGCCTTGCTTGGGTGAAATAAATCATTATATTTTGATAGTTTTGGGGGTTTGTTTTTTTTAGATATTCAAAGATTCGTTGCAGTCTGCAGGAACTGTCATGTCAATGAAAATGCACATTCTGCTTTTGTAGTTTTCGATGACGATGTCTGGGCGATAAGTTTTTTTTCTGTCTGTGTGGATTGTAAAGTCCCATAAATATGTTACATGCCCTATGCCTGTAATTGGGTGATGCTCATACCAATTACTTGCAGTTTCCTACCCGGAAAGGCTGCAGATATTCCAGTGCGGGTATTGGCCCACCCTGTTGTGCCGGTAATACTGTGCAACCCGATTCAAGATGGTTATCTGTCTATATTTCTGAGATGAGGTACTATGTTTGCTATTTACATTATTCGAACTATTGTCCTCATATTTGACGCCATATTTATTAAAACGTTTCAGCCCTTCAGTATCTGTCTATATTTCTGAGATGAGGTATTATATACATTATTTACATTATTCGGACTATTGTCCTCATCTTTGTCGCCATATTTATTACAACGTTTCAGCCTTTCAGTATCTGTCTATATTTCTGAGATGATGTATTATGTACACTATTTACATTATTCGGACTATTGTCCTCATCTTTGTTGCCATGTTTATCACAACGTTTCGGCCGTTGTACGTTTCGGTCTTCTTCAGGTGGTTGGAATTTCGAACTGAACCCTTAAAGACGGTTAGTTGTTTCTGGATATTCATCACAGAATCTGCATTTGAGGTTTAACACAATTTTTCACTATGTAGGCTTGTTGTTTTTTTTTTAGGCAATTCACTCTAAGCAAGACGGGAGTGCCACTAGCACGCAAGGGGTTACACAGTACTGGAATCAAGACTAAAGAGGCGTGTTTGCGGAAAGGATACAGAGAAGGACGGGGAACAAGCTCAGGGTTTCAGATGTCGATTGACATTACGCTTGAATATTTGAAGATTATAGTCATCGGGAAAGCAAGTAAGGGGAAGGGAGTTACACAGACGGGAAGTGCGGGAGAAGAAGCTGTTTGAGTAGAAGAGGCGGTTATATTTAACCGTTTTGACAGTGAAAGGATGAGACCGAGATGCCAGCCTGGTAGCTTGCTTAAATTCATGAAAGTCTGGGAACGAGTGAAATTAGCTCGTCGGAACAGTTGCCGTGAAAATACTTGTAGAAGAGGCAAAAAAATAAAAAAAAATGCTAAAGAACTTCGGATTATTTACCTAACGTGTTTCTTTCCTATTTTTGTATATATTTGCACACACACATATACATATATATATATATATATATATATATATATATATATATATATATGAAAAAAAATATAGTCTTAAGATATGCTATATTCATGGGATAAAGTGCTCAATATTAGAGATAGAGCATGTGTAAATATAAAAGTGAACATAAAGTCAACACTTCAGGCGACAGTCTGTGACATGCTATATGCAATCGTCAGGCAAACGTGGCCTGACGATTGCTTATATGTTCACATGGGTTAACTATACTTATAAATTATGTGTATGTGTATGTTGTGTATTTATATATATATATATATATATATGTGTGTGTGTGTGTATATATATATATATATATATATATATCATGTAATAACTCGGCTTCTTCGTTCAATGTTGGCGTTGGAAAGTATTTTTTTCTCTGTATAATGTGGGCGTTGAGCAATTTATTGTGTAGGTAGGTGTCTGCTTTTCCTTGTTCGGGTTTTTTTTTTACTTGTCTTAGGTGTTAGGTCTTCTGACAAATTACTGTTGGCTACAAATATAACATTAATAATAAAAATAAGCAGCTAAGGAGTCTTCTTATGTTGCACACAGGAAAAAAAGAGTGGTCTATGCCATATAAAATGACAGCGCTTTATTATATTTTAAATCAGATTTGAAATGAGTAGTGACCGGCCACGACTTCCAGTTTCATATATTTTTAAGCAATCATCAAGCGGTCGGTAACAGTAGTGTGTGAAAATTGGAACATTTATAGCGCCATGCAAGTCCAAGATGGTAAAAGTGTAACCGGAGCGTGTATATAGTTAACGCTCTGACCAAATTCACCGGAGGTGAATTGGGGTGGTAACCCATCCGGCCAAGATCAAAATAGCCGTCAAAATCACAATTAATTATTTTTAAACCAGAAATGGTTCACTGGTGAATATATGAACATCTATATATATATATATATATATATATATATATATATATATATACTTTAGCATATTATATCGAAAACATGTTGAGCCCTCTTTTGAATTAAATGTTACTAACGTGAGAGTTATACTCAATTCGTTCTCATCTTAACTGGATATCTACAGGGTGTCCATAAAGTTCGTGTGCACTTTAAAAAATTTATAACTTTATTTGTATTTGCGATAGAAATAATTTGTAAAAAGGATTAGAAAGAAGTAAATCTATGTTTTTTAAGGTTTTAATGAAATTTTATTTAAGTTTCCACATGTCCTCCATCATTAGCAATACAAAGGGTAATACGATTTTGCAGTTCACGGAAAACATTTGCCAACTGATTTACAGTAATGCCTGAAATTACATTAGTTATTTTAGCTATACTTAAAACTAGGTACATTATACTTTATAACATTTTTTACAGATTATCTCTATCGCAAATATAAATAAAGTTATACATTTTTTTAATGTGAACACTAACTCTATGGATACCCTGTGTATATATATATATATATATATATATATATATATATATATATATATATATATATATATATTCAGTTGTATGGATATGGGTTTGTGACCATGGGTTTCACGCTTTTGCGATCAACCGACAAAATGGTTTGTCAAACCAGTTTGTCTGATTTTCGTAAACGTAAGCGTGAAACCCAGGGTCACAAACCCATATCCATACAACTGAATGTGTTAGCTCTATCACTGATATTGAGCGCTTTTTCCGCATAAATATATATATATATATATATATATATATATATATATATATATATATTATAAGTTAATTGATTTAAAATATGTTTTTTTCACTACACAGTTCTAACCATGTTTCAAAAATGGAAGCTAAAAAGCCCCGAATTTAATTTTGTAATTAAATTAAAGACATTAATTCCATTTCATCCTCAAGCGAATTTTGGAGTAACTTTTAAAATTACTGGGTTTAAAGACACAGCTAAGATAAAAATATCTATAAGAACACTGGATTATATATTTTACTGTTCTTTCTTTATTTATATATATATATATATAGTTGCGTTGATGTGAGTTTATGACCCTGGGTATCACGCCCTTTGCGATCATCAGATTTCTCTGATGATTGCAATGGCGTGAAACATAGGGTCACAAACTCACATTTGTCCAACTAAATATGTTAGCTGTATCACTGATATTGAGCGCTTTCCAATAAGTAGCGCGCATATATAAATATATATAAAAATTGCATATATATATTTATATTTATATACATACATATTATACATATATATACATATATATATATATAGAGAGAGAGAGAGAGAGAGATAGAGAGAGAGAGAGAGAGGGAGGGAGGGAGAGAGAGAAAGGTCAGTTTTACTGTATGCAGCATTCATGAGTTAAAGTGTTCGATATTTGGAATAGAGCGTATGTCAATATAAATATAAAAGTGGACATTGAAGTCAACACCGAGCGGCGACAGTCTGTTTCATACTTGAACGCGATCGTCAGGCCATGTATATAGATTCTTGTTATAGAGGAGTTTTACAAATTTAATAGCAATAGAAAAAAATAGAGACGGACTTTTTAATGCTTGAATCCATATACAGTAATTTGTTTTAATTCATAACGAATTATTAAATAAATAAACTGAAGCAGACTTCAATTAAGTTGCTTCACTTTACACTGATCCCCTTTGGGAAAGGCATGAACCCACATCTCTTTCTATTCGTCGTATCGCACTTCGAGCAGTGTAAAGCAGTCCATTTCAGACAATGGTTCTGATCCCTTTTCTGCCCATTGCATCAAGGCTATAGGACCTAGTTTGTCCTGCTATTTTACCCATAAAATTTAATAGCAATAGAAAATGTTGATGGATTTTTAAACTTGAATCCGTATACAGTAATTTGTTTTAATTCATAACGAATTATTAATTAAATCAACTGAAGCAGACTTCAGTAAACAAAATGTTCAATAGAATGCCACGGTATTGGAATTCAATAAACAAAATTCTATGAATAAAAAAGTAAAATATTCCCTCGTGAAAACCTGCAATTTCCTCTGCAGGATTCCCCTCCGACCCTAGTTGAGAACCCCTGGGTAATAATTATCTTTGTATAATGCGAAGGACCTTTGACTTGCATAAATATATACTTTGGCTTACGTTCCCTTAGTTGTGATTGGTAGCCCTAAAAATGATTTTGTCCAAAACTTACAGTAATGCTCTTCGGACCGTCATCAACTCTGTAGGGACCTATAATTTTAATATCTATGATACTAGTCGAAAACTATACTCGTCCGGCTCTCTATGGTCACCTAAGATACGTTGGTTGATTATTGCTATGACTGAACGAACATTTCATTTACAATCAGCAGGTTCCACCAATGTAGCTTTACATTCATCAATCCCATATCGAAATATGAGCAAAATTATCTTACAATGCTGGCGTCATCGAGATCTCTCTTCCCGATCCTACACTTTATCTGCTATCTACTAACGATCTACCTTGGCGTATTCTTAGATCACTAGTAAATGTATCTGCAAATGGGAGCACCACTAAACATCTTATCTATCCCAGGGGTCGGCAACCTTTTGCTAACTATTTGCTGACTTAGGGTTCTAAAATTATTCAGCATGCCAACAGCATACGTATTTTTTATACAAGTCAAGGTCAATATGCCTATTCTACAATATATTTCATATAGTAATATATAGTATATATACATTAGTATATATTAAAATTGAATCAGCTAAATATCTTCTTTGCGTTTTAGTAGTTATTGGTTTGGACTTTGTGATATCATTTGTGGCTGCATGCCATGTATGGCATGTGTGCCGTAGATTGCTGAACCCTGTTTAAGTGTTAATTAGCTAAGTGTACAAGAGACAATGTCTACCAGCCTGTCCCTACTTTCCTTTGGACTTGTGCCACAAAAATTGTATTGTATATATTGTTTTTAATAAACATTTCTACATAAAATTTAGGGGTTTAGCTCGAGAAATCCTGGTCTGCAGTGAAGAGCCAATGTTCCTGAAAAGAGCTTCAATTTTGCATTAAAAGCATTTAGACTTCTTTTGGGAGGATCTTCAGTGCCAAAAATGGATTCAGCACCTCCCCAAATACATAAGAATAGAAGTCTAGATCAGGGTTCAGCAATCTTTGCTATTTACCGACTTAAGATTTTAAAATCATTCAGTGTGCCAACAGCATATGTATTTTTATACAAGTCAATGTCAATATACCTGTTCTACAATATATTTTAGATAGTAATATACGGTATATATACTTTAGTATATATTAAAATTGAAACAGCTAAATATCTTCTTTGTGTTGTAGTACTTATTGGTTCGGACTTCGTGATGTCATTTGCAGTTGCGTACCATTGGAAATTGCTTGACGTGCCATGTGTGACACGTATTCTGTAGGTTACCGACACCTGCTACAAGCAACCTCCTACAATCAAAAATATGTTTAGGTTATAAATGACCTATAAAGGGTTGATAAACCGTAAAAGAAAATCAATCAATCAACCCGACAGAATGTGGCGCGTGAAATGAACATAGTTATAAATTTTGCATTAAAAACATTTAGACTTCTTTTGGAAGGATTTTCAGTGCCATAAATGGATTCAGCACCTCCCCAAATACATAATAAAAGTCTAGACCAGGGGTCGGCAACGTTTTGCTAACTATGTGCCGACTTAGGGTTTTAAAATCATTCAGTGTACCAACAGCATACTTACTTTTATAGAAGTCAAGATCAATATACCTGTTCTACAATATGTTTTATATAGTAATATATACTATATATACTTTAGTATCTGTCTATATTTCTGCGATGAGGTATTATGTACACTATTTACATTATTGTGCCTCAAGGACACATGGCACAGTGGATAAAGGCGTTGGTTAGATCCAGTGACACGACCCAAACAGTGAGAGTTCAATACCGGGTTAGAGCAGTGGAGAACTTTCAGAGGGAAATTAGCAGGAGATAACTGATAAATGACATCCATTAAACAGGGCACGTGGAACTAGAACAGTCTACTTCAGTGAGCGAAATAAAGGGTTTGGTTCAACATTCAAAGCATACAACGGCCAAAACGTTGTAATAAATATAGCGACAAAGATGAGGACTAAAATAATGTAAATAGTGTATATACTTTAGTATATATTAAAATTGAAACAGCTAAATATCTCCTTGCGTTGTAGTAGTTATTGGTTCGGACTTTGTGATGTCATTTACGGCTGCGTACGATTGGAAATTGCTTGGCGTGCCGCGTGTGGCACGCGTGCCGTAGGTTGTCGGCCCTTGTTTTAAATGCTGTGTAATTCTTAGTTGAAAATGGACAAATGAACACGTGGCATATTTAACGGTATTTACATTTAGATTAGCATCCTCATCTTTGTTGTTGTTATCACGTTTCTGCCATTGTATCTTCCAGTTTTCTACAGGTGTTTGCCAATGCAGCCAAAATTCCAGTTGAACCCTTTGTTTAATCTACAGATGTAGAACCGTCCTGGGTATGACGATAAACTACATCCAGCAGCAAGGCCTCTGATCAGGAGGTTTTGAGGAGCGTGGAACCACCTCTTAATTGCTGGTGTTTCCAGATCCACATTGACCCGGGGTGGTAGCACCTGTTAGGGTCCCAGCTATGAGCAAATAGTTAACACCCAAACTTGCGTAAAAATAGGTTTTAATACCAGAAATGCTTTGTAATAAAATAAATTATTACTAGCAATAATTTTTGAAGGAAAAATTATCAGCAATACTTTAAAAAAAAAATACCTGTAATACAAACAGCTATACATTCTTAAGAAGTTAGATTGTACTAAAAAAATATGAGTAATTGAAAAATGGTTCAAATATATATGTATACATACACACCATTTTTTCCAAACTATCGCT